TATATATATATATATATATACATACATATATATACATACATCAATGTCTATACTGATTATATGTATCAATTCTTTTAATTAATTATCAAATTAGCAATTGAGTGCACTAGAGGTTGTGTTTGAGTTCGACGTTGTTTGGAGACGTGCAAGAGATTGATGATGCGAAAGCAGCTGTTGTTTGTGGATTTTGATTTGTGCATGGGAAGCAGCAAAGGCCGTTTGAGTTCTAGATCATTGGAAGCATATATAGGATCAGATTTGTGTAATTCAGATCACGAGTTAGTTACAATTTGAAGGAGGCTATGAGATTCAGTGGATCCATGAATTTATCCACCTCGACAGTGATGAAAGCAGTGATCCATCAAGTGATTACACATCTTCTCAAAATTGATGTGACAAAATTTGACAGCAATGAAAACTTTGGTATGTGGCGATGTGAGGTAATGGATGCGTTGTGCTCTTTAAATATAGAGGAAGTTCTGCAAAGCGATAAACGTCCTGAAGAGATATCTGAGAGGGATTGGCTTATGATGAACTAGAGTACTTGTGGCTTGATCAGAAATTGCTTATCTCAGGAGGTCAAGTATATTATGTTGATGAAAACTTCTGCTGTGAAGCTATGGAAGACTTTGGAGAAAAGTATCTGACAAAGAACGTGGAGAATCATCGTCATATGAAGCAGTGGTTATACATGTTTCAGTTGAGGCATGGGATTATAATTGATGAGCATTTAATTGACTTTAAAAAGCTATTGGCAGATCTTGTGAATTTGGATGAGTAGATTTGAGATGAAGATGGTGCTCCTTTGGTTGAATTTGTTCCCATATGAGTACAAAAACTTCATGATGACGCTCATTCTTGGGAATGAGTTCATGAACTATGGTGAGGTGACTACTGCATTGTTGAATCACGAGTTTTGACGTCGGCATAAGGAGACTGCAAAGATGGATTCAACTGAGGCTCTCACATTCCAACTAAAAAGATCTGAGAAAAAGAAGAATAAAAGGTGATGTAGCGGCAAGCTTGAGGAAGCCTAAGTGTTCACTTGAAGGGCAAACATACATCCAAATCGAAGATCAAATGGATTTGCCAAGTTTGGACTTTTAAGTGGAGAGACTCAGTAAAGCTTAATTTAATTTTATCAAATAATTATGTTTAAGGAATTCACTAATTACTATCTTAACATAATAACAGATACTTCCCATATATTACGGTTTAACCATCTGCATAGTTCTCCACCAAGCCAAAAGGATTTTAGGCCAGTGTAGTATAGAGTTCTTTTTACATCTTTGATTAATATTATTATTAATTGATGGAAAATTCACGTTAATAAAGAAAAAAAAAAGTTTTTCATTTTAGTATTGTATGAAGATCTTGGGAGCAACATATAGGAGATATAAGAATTTTTATGTTGAAACAAAAAAAAGGGTAAAATCTCTATGATTCTATCTAGTTGAAATGATTTTATTAATGTATGATGTAAGTATAAAATGACATCATTTTCCCACAAATTTTCAAGAGATCATTTGTGGTATGTTCAATTAATCTTCTTTAAGAAGAGGAAATTATAAATCAGGAAGTCCAATTTAAATTTTATTATTGATTAAGTGAGTAGGAATTAGCGCCAATAGTGTATATCAGTCTTATTGGTGATGTTGCATCAAAATTATTGGTTTCAGCAAGCAATCAAATAGGTGGATAATATGTGGGAGTCGATGTGGGTTACCCTTATTGGTGATAGCTATCATTAACATTGTTAAGAATAAAGTCCGCAAAAGATGATAGTAGGGTGATAGATGCCAAGAGAGCGTTCGTAGTTTGACAATGGTGGTCGAATGGTGAACGTTGAGCACCATCAGTTTTTTGTGTTGATCTTTAGTGTGGAACGTTGAGTGAAGCTCTTAAGTTTTTCAAATCTCTAAGCTCACTCCAATCCAAGTTAGGGTCCAAGCTACCTTCAAGTGAAGAAAGAAGGATTAATCATAGCTTTCTAGAGTGTCATCTTGATAATTTTAGTAAAAATCCCAAAACACTTCATCAAAAAGCTCGTGTTGCTTCCCTCGATATTAGATAATTCTTTTAACATTTAAGTGACTTGTAACATCGCCTGCTTGTTAGATTCATCACATCAAGATGCTCATTTCAACTATAAGCAAGCATGATTCGAAGTTCATTTAGGCCTTAAATTAATGTCATGAAGTCTTCAACATTCTTTTATTGTTTTATTTGAGCTCATTTCAACTCCAATCGAATCAATTTTGATATTGTTGGACTAACACCACAAAAAAAGTTTAGCTAAACTATAAATTTATTGAAATAAAAATTTATATGACTCAAAATTTAATCCTAAAAATTTCTAATTAAATATGCATGGAGATCTATATTTGATCAAATCAAATTTTCTTGATGAAATATAATTTGTTATTTGAAAATTTTTTCTAATTCTGCTAATAATAATTGATACATCATGCAAAAATTATCTTGATCGGGCACGAATCTTGAGGCAAAAGTTAGTTGGAATCTTCAAAAATTAAATTTGAAAGCACCCAAACTCCGATTCCAGCGATCTTATAGTCAAACTGAGCGTCTCGGAAATACGAACTCAACGACACCAAGATCAACCCAATCCGAGCTCAAATGAGTTCAAATCAAGGGTCCAAAGCGCTGTTGGAAGGTTCAAACCGCAATTTGAGTTACCAAACGGTCTCCGATTTTTACGAGATTATACTCGAATCGAACGGTTCGACGAGACGAATCCAACGAGCCAAAGATCATCAAATTCGGACATCATTAAGGGCTTCAAATGACCAACGAACGGTGCATGATCAAAGGATTCGATATCGGCCGTCCATTCAAACCACTCCCAATTGGCCCTTGATCTCACGCCTATTTACGGGCTATGCCACTACAGAAAAATTATAAATAGAGCCCTCATTCTACACCAAGGGGACTCAAGGGAAGAGAGAGAAGAAGAAGAGGAGAAAGGAGAAAAGGAGATTCCTCACCTCCTCGACCACCGCCGGAGCTCTTCCTGCCGCCTGAAGATGCCGGAACTCTGCCAGATTTTTGGGAAACGCCGGGAATCTGCATAACTTTGTAACTTTTTGAGAAGTTGATTGTAAATTGATCGCCTTGATTCGTAAGACGATCAATCTTTGTACTTCAAACAAATACTAGTGGATTCGTTCAAACTGGGCGAGGCCCCGTGGTTTTTCCCCCTTTTACAGGGGTTTTCCACGTAAAAACTTTGGTGTTCATTTTCTCTTTTCTATTTGTGTGCGGAATACTCGTGCAATGCTAAGATGAATATTTCCTAACTCTACTGCCGCGTATATTCAAGCACGCAACAATAATAATACAGAATAAAATAAAACAAAATACTAACTTAAAAGATATGAGCATGTCCACCTAAAATCTCCCCACCATAAATATGAAATATCTGTGTCTCCATACATCACTTATTTTTCACATATAACTCCTATGGCCTCTTCCTTTTTCCTTTCCTCCAAACGCTCTACAACGTAACAAAAACCAGAGTCTCCCATTGTATGCTTAGAAGTAAGCACATAGGATCAGCAATCCAAGAAAAAGTTAGACAAAATTCAAAATTTTGCTAACAAATTTCAGACAAATCACATTAAAAGCTAGTCAAATTATGATACTTCAATTAATGGTGGCCTAACATAGCTACGGCTAAGGGGAACCTTCCACTGTATGACAAATGGGATAACAGCTGTCTTCATAGAAAAAAACTCCTTTTAAAAGGTTAAGTTTGATTCTGCTCAAACCCAAAGACAATAATTAGCTTTCTTCCTTTATTTTATAATTTCCATCCAAAAGTTGTGACCTCAGAGATGGACCCTATAAATACAACAAGTCTTGAGAACCTCCTGCACCACATCACTTGCTTGTAGACTTTTTCTTCTCTCCTAATCGAGAGAGAGAGAGAGAGAGAGAGAGAGAGAGAATCTCAAAGCAATTCATTAAAGCTGGCAAGAGGAATGGGGCCTGGAGCTCCATTATCAAAGATTGCAGTTTCAAAGGCTCATGGAGAGGATTCGCCATACTTTGCTGGCTGGAAAGCTTATGATGAAGACCCTTATGATGCTGTGAGCAATTCCGCAGGTGTCATTCAGATGGGATTGGCTGAGAATCAAGTAAGTCAGAGAGAATATTTTGATCAAAATAAGTCTAAAATTATCAGATTTAGTTCAAAATGAGTATAATATATAGATAATCAATCAAGATTTACATTAAAGTATCTCAATTCAATTTTTTTTCCTATTTAAATGAATAGTAGGAATGATTTTTATATGTGAGTTGAGTCAGACTGTTCTGAAATGGGAGACCTGAACTGTAAAGCTTTGTCTTTTTAAGGAAGCAGCCATTTTATTGAAATGTAATGTAAAATGTTTTTGTGGACAGGTCTCATTTGATTTGCTAGAGGATTACCTGGAACACCACCCTGAGACATCTAGCTGGGGCTCTGGAATCACTAGCTTCAAAGAAAATGCTTTGTTCCAGGACTATCATGGCCTCCAAAGCTTCAGAAAGGTGACCCTGCACACTAACTAATAATCTCAAAAAAAAAAAATTTTTTTTTTTTTTTGATATCATAAATAAATCTCAATTTCTTATACAAAAATCCCCAAATCTCAACATAAAGGATTTTTTTTTTTTTTGGAGCAAACTAATAAAGAATTTGCGAGTGAATATTATGGATACATTTTTTATGAGAAAAGCCTCACATAAATGACTGCTCACAGGTGGCAAAAATTTGCAGGTCAAAATAGTAAAAAACTCAACAGCTGAAATGATAAGTCTGTAGACTTTTCTGCAAATTGTGACTTTCTGCCACGAATTAAATATTTAGATATTTCTCACAGAATAAACTAAGTGAAATTCCTACTAGAATTTTTATCAATGATTCTACTTAGTAATTACATATGTGCTTATAAGCAAACAAGTTATAGAAAAGATTAAATTACCTGTCTAGACACTAACACAAACTTAGCTCTACTGCTCAGGCAATGGCAAGCTTCATGGAACAAATAAGAGGCAAGCGTGTCAAATTTGACCCGGATAGAATGGTTCTCACAGCCGGTGCAACCGCCGCCAATGAGCTATTGACCTTTATCTTAGCCGACCCTGGCGACGTCTTCCTTGTACCCACCCCTTACTATCCAGGGTAACTAACCCATGAAAAAGAAAAATTATTCAAGAGCTTTGAAGTCTATTTTGATGCAAAATACTTAGGCTACTTTTTTCCCTAACACATCAATGATTATATATGAAGCATGATTAACACTCCAACATAACCGTTCCATTTTCGTGTGAATAGGTTCGACCGAGACCTCCAATGGAGAACCGGAGTGAAAATCCTCCCGGTCCATTGTCACAGCTCCAACGGCTTCCAACTCACGCTTGCCTCCCTTCAATCCGCTTATTCCAATGCCGAAGCATCAAACTTTCGTGTCAAAGGTCTCCTTATCACCAACCCTTCCAACCCATTAGGCACCGCCATGTCACGCTCTCTCCTTGAAGAAATACTCGACTTCATAGAAGAAAAAAACATCCATTTAATCTCTGACGAAATCTACTCCGGCTCAGTATTCTCCTATCCAGAATTCATAAGCGTTGCTGAACTCGTTGAAACCCGCCGACACAAAACCTGTGAAGGAATCCATATCGTGTACAGCTTATCAAAAGACCTTGGCCTACCTGGCTTTAGAGTAGGAACCATCTACTCTTACAATAACAGAGTGGTGACAACAGCGAGAAGAATGTCTAGTTTCAGCTTAGTCTCTTCACAAACACAAAAGATGTTGGCTTCCATGTTATCAGATGAAGAGTTCACAACTAAATACATAAGAACAAATAGAGAGAGATTGAGGAAGAGACACAGTTACATTGTTCAAGGATTAAAGGATGCAGGAATTAGGTGTTTGAACGGGAATGCAGGGTTGTTTTGTTGGATGAATCTCACACAAATGCTTGAGGAGAAATCAGTGGAGGGAGAGCTGAGGCTGTGGAAGATGATATTGAGCGAAGTGAAACTTAATGTGTCTCCGGGGAGTTCATGCTACTGTGTAGAGCCAGGGTGGTTCAGGGTTTGTTTTGCAAATATGACTGAGGAGACTCTAGATGTTGCATTGAGAAGAATGAAGGTCTTTGTTGAGAAGATTAAGGGAAGGAAGAAGAAGTTGATTTCCTAAAATTGAATTATTTGTTTTAATCATTCTTTTTGGATGTTGATTAGTTAACATCCTGAATTATAACAGTTCCTAAAAGTAATGACTTGGAATGATTTTGACACATATTATGAAAAATGTTTTTCTTTTTCGTTCAAATAATTTTTTCCTATGCATCAAGGATACAAAATGTACTTACGATAGCCTATATCTGTGAATGATGTATTTATATATTCAAGTTGTGGTTACATTTATTTCCACTGTATATTTATTTATGGACTTAATGAATGTTGGCATGTTCGAAAAAAAATTAATTGTATGTCAAAAATCAAATCAATTTTTAGCTATACCTATGTAAGAAAAATGTTGAGAGCATATCTAGTGAGAATACAAGTAAGATTAAATCAGCAAATGGCTAAGATTTGTTCCATTTGACACCAATGCTTCATTTAGGATGGCTTTCTTACCGCTTTTTAAAGCAGTTTTTTTTTTTTTACTAGAAAGTTGTAAGAAAGCCGTCTCAAACGAAGCCCAAATGGATGAATTTGAGACAATCGTAAATAGTAGAGGTTTAATCATTTCAATATTTTTTTGGGGAAATTAATCATTTCAATATTGACCTATTATGGTACTATAATGAAGTACAATAAATAGATTTTGATAAAAATAACAAGTATATGTTTTCTATTAAATTGTGTTTTATTTGAATGGCCTTGATGGATGCTCCATGATCCAAATTAAGACAACTATTTCAACGAATGCTTTGAGAGGGTTGTTGAGAGAGGATGTTGACAATGAGAAAGTTGTGGCTTCTAATAATGTGTATTCTATTAGAGCAAGATGATTTATTTTCATCAATTTTATTATTTAAAAAATATCTCAATTGACTAATCCTTAGAAAACGATTCATATAACTATTTCTTGTATATGAAACAAGCTTTTATTTTTATTAAAGATATTCTAGACGTATTAATTTGGTCGGCCAATTAGGCATCGAATTAGTCAATTGCATGCTTTATGATATTTGGCTAATTTTGACTAGGCTATTCACTTGTATTTCATCAATAAGTTCAGGAATAGCTGACTAGCCTATTTCAAATTTTATTTTCAAAAAATTGAGTAAATCAAAATTTAAATTATATTTTGTTTTTCATTTATATTTATTTATTAGCCCAATTTAGTATATTATCATTGATTGAAATCAATATTTTTTTTATTAGATCTATCTATTCTGATGTTAAAGAGGGAGAGATAAAGAGTTTAATTATAGGGCATGGTAACTATCATTTCTAAAGTCAAATCCTTTAGATATTTCTTCCATTATAGGTTAAGCTATTTTACTCTTATATCGAAAGATGATATTTTTTATTCTTATTTGTATTCATTTTTCTTATTTGTCATTTGATGAAATAGGATTTTTGATGGATTTTTGAAAATTTGACAATTGAATTTTGTCTTTTTTACATTATTATGCACTTTTATAGAAATCTGTCATATTTAATAAGAGATTGATGTAATCTACATGTTCCTATGATATTTTAGACTATATATAATTTTCTTTATCATGTTTAGGGATGTAGATGATGATGTTGTGGTGACTATTAATTGCTCATATTTCTTGGTGATTCATATGTGACCTACAAATTAGCATGCACAACATGCATTATAAACCATAGGGTATATGAGTTGCATGTTTTCCTACTAATTTTACGATGTTCCACATAAGATCTTACTCACCTTTAATAAATACAGGATTGATCCTACACGATTTAGCATGTGTGTCATATATAATTCAATGTTTTCACTTGTTTATATTACATATATTGGCATATATAATTACATAATACTATGCATGTCACATATTATAAATGTTGTATTATGAGTGACATTATGTATATGAAATATAGGAATGTTAGATGTGCTATATGAATGCATTAATAGAATCTATATATGTAATGGAACAATTGGTTGGGTACTTACATGTTGGCTTATATAAATGATCATAAGCAATAAGACTAAGTTAATGGGCTTTATTTATTTAGAGAGGGAGCATGCATTGGACTTAAAATTTTAAGAGAGTCATAAAATTGGATGTGATATTTTGTTTGCATATATGAATATTTTATAACACGAGTGATATATCATCAAAAATTTATCTTGATGGAAAATGATTCTCGAGGTAAATTTGAATGGAAAACTTCAAAAATTAAATCTGGAGCCAACCGAATTCCAATTTCAGCAATCTTATAGCCGAATTGAACATCTCAAGGATACAAACCCAATGACACCAAATTGTATCAAATTCGAGCCCAAATGGATCCATATCGAGGGCTTACAGAAAATTTTGAAGGTTCAAACATAAATTGGATGACCAAATGATATTCAAATGTGACATGCTTATACTTGAATCGTGTTGCTCGACGAGACAAATACAATGGTCCTAAGATTGCTAAATTCTGACTTTATTAAGATACTCAAATGCTCAATAAATGGACATGATAGATCTAATTGATATCGGCCATCCATCAAAACTCTCCCAACATGCACTTGATGTTTTTCTTATTTACTACTGAATCCACTCCTTGAGAATTATAAATAGACCATCCATTCTTCACTGAAAGGGGAGGAAGGAAGATATAGAAGAGAAGAGAGGAAGAGAAATCCAGGAGCTCTGTTACCACCAAATTTCTCCTCAACCACTGCCAACCATCAACCATCATCAGACTTCCACCTAGCAACTGATCGTTGCCGGACTTCCGCCCAATTACTGATCATCGCCGGATTTCTACTCGATAACCATCGAACTTCTGCTCTACCACCATTGGACTTCTGCCCAACTATCATCATTGTAAACTCTCACAAACTACAACGCACTTCCTATATTTCTGTAAATTGATCGTCCTCAAGTTTAGGAACATGTCAATCTTTATAACATATTCAAACAATATTGAAATCATTTCAACTAGTATTAACCCTATGACTTTTCCCTCTTTTAAGATTTTCCACGTAAAAATCCTAGTATTTCTAAGTTCTCTGTTTGTGTTCTAGGTATCTGTACAATACTAGTATGAAAGACTCTCTTACTTTATTGTTGCAAACATTTTAGTCCGCAACAACTAGTTATGAGACGAAAGAAAAAATAACCCTATATTGTTGAAGAAAGTCACCTGAATTTGGGTCAGCTTAATTTCATGTTGGACATGAATCTGACACATCAACCCGTTTTCACGTCCACACATTCAAGCGTCACAAAATATTTCATTTTGTTTGAGAAAATTTGGTACTATAAGTCAAACATAAGAGGGATAATGATTAATCATATTGTTTAAATTGTATAATAGAATTGAGCAGTTAGACTAATAATTCAGTGCAAACAAGTCAAAAAAGATGAGAATCCAAAATAGTGGCCCTAGCTTATCCACAAAGACAACGAATATTGTTCACTAATGAATGGCTGAAAATCAACTTTAATTGATCTCGCTGGGATGATGGGAAAGGAGGCAGAGCTGCATTTCTTCATATTTGGACATAGAAAAGATATAGCTTTTATTTGCGATAGTTTTTTATAACTGTTTTTTTTTTAATATTTATATAAAAAATTATTTTAGAAGACTATAAAAAAGTTTAACTTCGTTTGAGACATCTTTCTTAATACTTCTTAAAACAAGTTTGTAGTACAAAAATTTTAATTTTTTTACTAAAAACTACTTTAAGAAGCAATAAAAATGCCTTCCCAAACAAAGACTTAGCCGTTCCAAATAAAGACTTAGCCGTTCCAAACAAAGTAGTAGATTTAAAGCTTTTTTAAATAAATTTATAAGATTTTTCTGAGAAAAATATTTTTAAACTATTGTGAGTGTTAGAAAATTTTTTTATTTTAACTTAAGAAGGCTACTTCGAACAGACTCTGAGACTTTGGCTTCGTTTGGGATGACTTTTTTACTGCTTTCTAAAACAAAGTTTTAATACAAAAATAAAAAAATTTGTACTAAAACTCCGTTTTAGAAAACAAAAAAAAAGCCGTCCCAAACGAAGCCTTTGCATCCAATGACAACTCTTTTCTACATAGGGTTGGCAATGAAATGAATTCAAAAGCCTTCTTTGTTTAAGTTCTAAGGTCGATTGGGCAATCAAGTGCATTTAGTGTAAACTTTTGCTATGTTCGATGAAGATTGCAATATTTAAGACCTAAAAAAAAAAAAGTGCATTTAAAAGCTTTTTCTTTTTTTTATTTGTTCAAGTTGTAACGTTGATTGCGATCATTATTTTAAAATATTATAGCTAGAAATCATTATTTACTCTTGTTGATCTCGTCACATTCACCAAAGTGATCTCGTGCATTTGTTTCGACCTCAAACTTTTCTATTCCATATTTAGGTTTCATTTGAGACAACTTTTTTATCACTTCTTAAAATGGTTTTTTATTACAAAAATTAATACTTTCATACTAAAAATTTATTTTAAGATGCAGTAAAAAAAGTCGTCCCAAACGAAACCTTTGTCTAAATTAAGAGTGGATTTGAGAGACAAAAAAAAGTCCAATTTTGTTAAGTTTTGAGATGAAATTGCAAAATAAGGGGATGTTTGACTTGAAGTAAAATTGTTGTAACATATTCTAAATGCAACAGAAAATATTGATGTTTGATTAAAAGAAAAAAAAATATATATATATATATATATTAAAATTTTGATTTATTTTAATTTCATCATCTAATTAAATTTTGATGCAGTTAGAAAACAATAGATTTGGTCACTCCTAATTGCACAATAAATTATACATCATTACCACTGTAAACTAATGTCGCTGACGTTGCCACCGTCGCTTGATGGCTACCTTTGTTGTTGCCCACCCAACATCACCATAGTTGGCCGCCACTCTATCGGCCACTACCCATAGTTGGTCAGACGTGACGGATGCCAAATCCAACAAGCCATCAATCACCATCATTATTGAACTTTGCACAATATTTATTTTATTTCAAACAATAAAAAATAGTATAAATTTATTTTAATTACACTCATCCAAATAATTTTTATCATTTCAAATATACTGCAATTTTTAATATTATATTTCATTTTACTCCATGTTGCATTTTTATCCAACAGATGACCCCTACGAGAAATTTTAGATTGAAATTGGAACATAATAAATAATCTAATGATTATTTTGATTATTCTCTTAAAAAAAAAAAAGATA